ACGACACTATCCCATGAGGCCACGGGACAGGAGTAGTCGTATTCGTAAATAGTAGATGTCACATGACACTAGGTCAGTTTATATGGAGCACTGTATTCCAATTGGTTTAAAAGTCCAATTTAGGGATGTAACGGTATGAAAATTTCATATCACGATTATAGTGACCAACGTTATCACGGTTATCAATATTATCACGTTTTTGTTCAAATTAGATGAAAATGTTCAAAAAGAACTGATACACACACTGAAAACATTTCAATAAGTTTTATATTTGAAAATCAACAAACAACAAACACAATTAGCAGCTGTATGCACTTTTTTTTTTTTATCGTGATTTATCGTGAAACCGGTAATCGTTCCATCCCTAGTCCAATTTGAATGAAAATGCTTCATGTAAACACCTCATTTGGAATAAAAATGCCCAAACTGATTGACATTTCAATGGGTTTGAGAAGGGTGGGATAAACCTTCTCTAAATCCGTTCAATAAGACATGTAACACTTGATCAGACTGAAACCGAAAACTGGAGCGCTGACCTTACGTTTTGAATATGGATATTTTTCTAACAAAAACGCATCGATTCGCTACAGGAGGCCTTTGTTCACCCCCCGGAGCTGTGTGAGACACTTTTTTTTAATGGATGGGCGCTTTTTATTTCACTTCTTTGGGACTGAAGCACTGCAACACCCGCTGACTGCAATGATAGAGCTTGGAATAGCCAGGACAATTTTTAATATAACTTCGACTGGATTCGTCTGAAAGAAGAAAGTCATATACACCTAGGATGCCTCGGGGGTGAGTAAAACACAGCCTAATTTTAATTTTTGGGTGAACTAACCCTTTAAGTCTAGCGCAAATTTAAGCACTCTCAAAAAACTCCCCTTATAATCAAAGCCGTCTACGCTGTTTGATGAATGAATCTCCTACTTACATCATACGCAAATCTGCACTTTGTTGAATTTAGTCAGCGAGCACGCACACTGAACAACAAAACTCCGGTGTTTCAGCGAGGACTAATCTATAAACGCCTCTGATTGGCCATTGCATTCATAAGCTCAACAGACACGTTTGTGATTGGTTATAATGTGCAACACTGTAAAATGTGGAAAAAGAATCATGGTGCAACATTAAGCAGATCTAAATTTAATGTTGCAGTCAACACTTTTCCATTTCATTTTAATTTTATTCGCGACAGCAGTAATGGATTTAGTTTAACTGTACAGCAGCATTTTTGTCCACGTGTGTTGCCATAGTTTCTACAAGTGGAAACCGATAGCGTGGATATTAGGTCATTGAGGCGACAATGAACCGGGACGAGCCATTCCCTGCGTTCCATTCGGAAGGGCTCGTCCCTATGCCCTAATCCCTTCAAAGGGTTTACCCTCCGGGTTGAGCGCTTTGAAGGGTTGAAGGGTGTAGGGGACCAAACAACTGTTTCTTGAAGTGCCCTTCTGTGTCATCATCACGTGCCCACATGGAGGCGCTGTTTATTTAAAATTTTAATTTCTCTGGATTTACAAATCCTTGGGAACTTTTGGGATAATGTACGTACACAACTGTGTAAAAATCTAACAAATTGTGCCTTTAAATAGGTTAGGTAATGGGAAGGTGGGTGGAAAAGTAGGCAGAATAATGAAAAGGAGACAGCCCATTGCAAAGAAAGGAAGGACACAAGGAAAGTGTGGCCTTGAGAAGAACGCCAGATATGCAGAGGGAGGGACAAATGTCAGGGGAGGAAAAATGGGAGTTTGCGATCCCACGTCACTCACTCTTTCCCTCGTTCTCAGACCATTCCCCACCATCTCACACACTCTGAATCCTTAGAGACAGAGAAAAGAACATGGCAGGAAGAGGGAGAGAGAGGGAGAGCGGGTGGGCGGCAGCCTCCTGTGGCTGGACAATGAGTGTTTCCTGTGTGGATTTTCTGCTGCTTTACCCCTAATTCTTAATCTCCTATAATCTCTGTCACTCTCTCACAGGTCGCACACTAAGTGCTGCTGTTATCTAAACCCTTTAAAACATATTTACACCCTCTCACACACACAAAACTCAGCGAACACACTCATAGGAATGAGTCACTCACTCCAGCTGATAACGTTATCCTCAAACACACGCCTGTTGGTACAGATGTAGCTGACAAGTCTTTACATAGACTAACAAATCAGTATGACTGCCCAGAAAGATGCATCCAAGAATTCCAAGAATGTAATCAACTTCCCAAAACATTGTAAAACATTATTCCCTGCTTGGACATAAATTACTTAACTGGCTGTTAGTTCTGCTTAATGTTTAATCTTGAATGTTAGCCTACAGTATGTCAATGACACGGATGTTAAAAGATGCCTTTCTGTCCCTTATATTTGCATTACTTCCCACAAATCATGTCTGCTTGAATAACATGGATGGAGCTATCACTGCTGGAGCCTGTTCCAATTGACTATTCAAAGTAGTGCTGGGCGGTATACCGGTTCATACCGAATACCGTTGTTTATTTTTGTTATGATATGAATTTTTAAAATACCGCAATACCGGTGTATGTCGCTTATACAACGTTCGGAACGCGAACATCCAAAATCACAGTAGGGCTGGGCGATATGGGCAAAAATTCATATCTCGGTATTTTTTGGCCGATTTGCTAAGCTCAGTCTGTGTCCTCCGCTATATTTTCAGATGCGCTCGTATCAAACTACTGTATATCGATATAAATGGTATTGCCTCATATCGAATCGCTAATAAAGAAAACATCGATATATCGTACAAACTCGATATACCGCCCAGCCCTAAACCACAGTACATTAAACTAAGCCAAAATGCCCAGTTTTGTGCACATTTTTGAGCTAATATTACCCACAATCTCCCTATGAAAGAGGAGAGTCATGTCTAAACTGTGCATGAACCTGAAAGCAGTTTTAAGATAACAAATTCAGCTAAAGTTTACATGCAAACAGTACGCAACACAGGTTGGTCTGTGATAATCAAGACAAATTTTATGATATGGTGCACCAATACTGCATGCCAAAGTGTGGACTTTCCACTTATTAGCAAGTTACATATTTAAGACATAGTCTGGGACAATTAAGACAAAGCCAAAAAACAAACTGAAAAACAGGCTCTTATCCATCAACAGAAATCCAGTGGAAAAATTACATTCTCAAAATGTGACAGCCTCCCATGGAAATCAATCAAACCTCTGGATATTTGAATATTATTAATAATGGCATAAGCATAACAGACTAGATGGTGACCGACCGTTCAAAAGAACTTTGCTTTGGACACCTAAAAAGCCAATTTGCATGGAAAATTACCAATTAGTCATTGAGAGGACTCTCTTATCCAAAGTGACAGTATTTTAACTTATGAACTACATGTACATTTCCCTAATAGAAACTTGGAGTTAGATCCAAAAAATAAAAATTCTGTCATCATTTACACACCCTCTATGTTGTTTCAAACTGCAGGATGTCCGTTGGATTCCAAATAATAACACTGGAACACTCACTTTAAACACACTTTCATTATGTGGACAAAACATTTTTTTAAATGCCCTCTTTTGTGTTCCAAAGAAGAAAGCAATTCATACAGGTTTGGAATGACATGAAGGCGAGTAAATGACAGAATTTTAATTTTTGGGTGAACTATTCTTTTAAGTGCCTTGTTTAAAGAAGAGCAGGTCATATGGTATTTTAAAGTGTCCTAATATTGTGTTGGAGTCCCGCTAGAGAAAGTTAGCCAGCGCTACCATTGACAAAGCACCTTTGCATAAAACAATAATATAGTGCTCCAATCCGTTCTTATAATAAATGACATAAAATACAAAAACACTTACGCAAGCGAATGCCCACAGCTAAAGTTTAGCTGCTAAACTGTGAACACTTAAAACAATAATGGTGGATACGTTAGCCGAGTGCTAACGTGACTAACTGATGAAACAATACAGTTTGTAAACCAAAATATGTCTACTGTAATGTTTGAAGAATGACAGACAAAAGACGCTCTGTCTTAACTTTTAATTAGAATGCAGAACAGCTGTTTCACAGGCGCACCAGCCTAACTAACTGGCTCGTCTCTCCCGCATTAACCCTATAACTGCCGGTGCAGCAAAATAAACAGCAATTTCACAATGATTATAAAGTCTGTGCACTACACTACATTCTTTATTATTAAACGAAGTAATTAGAACAACGTCCATCTACATTAATCGACACATTCTTAGGAAATAGTGGGTTCACAGCGAATTATCAGAACTACTTCAGTAAGACAGTAATATCATGCTTTACCTGGAAACCTAAAGCTGCACTAGGTGTACATCACATATTAGCACAAAAACTTGATATTTTGAGCACTCAATTCAAAATGTACACATAACGTATCAATCGTACTTACAGGTTGTGCCTCGGAGAGCTTGTTAGTCCAAATTAAGAAGATAGAAGAAGTCAACGAAGATAAAAGCCAAGATTAGAGAAGCAGTCCTCGGTAAAATGACATGCACACAACAAAAGGTTCGAATTGTATTTCTGTGGTATCCTTGAACACAGCGTCTTCTCAACATGATGTATACACACTAACTAGTCTAGCGGAAGTGTTTGTGGGCAGGTCAGACTAGCGGGCAGGCAGGGATTATGCAAATGTGTTACCCAGTGACGTAACAGGCAAAAGATTCGAAAATATCACGACTCGTTAAGGCGATTCAGAATCGACAATATCTTTATTTATCATGCACGTTTTTGATTAACAACTTTTCATTTAAGGATAGCTACGTTATAAACTGCAAAAGAGATATTTTTCAAAAACCCGTATGACCTGCTCTTTAAGGCCACAATGGTCATTGTTCATGCCTCGCCTATTGTAGGATTTAAACCTACAATAGTTTGATTACCAGTCTGGATCTTTAAATATTAGATGCACCATCCCTAGTGAGTAATGCGGGTCAAAGTCATCAGATGCTGCTGAATGGTTATATGCACTTTTCTCATGAAGTTATGTGTGTGTTTGGAACTGACCAGTGAAGAGGTCTCCGTTGCTGTAGGCTTTGCCCCGGCCCTCTTCTTCGTTGGGCACAGCCGACACCTGCTTAGCCGAGGTGCAGCCCATGGCCTCATTCCCTCCCCCCTCTCACCATCTCACCTGAGAGAGACAGAAAACACATGCAGCAAAGTGGCTGACAGCACACGTTTAAAGTCAGAACAGACGCATGATTAGCTCCATTAGCGGCTCCGCTGGGTTACGTAATACCGATCATCAGGAAAAGAAAACACATCTGAGTTGAGCCTGAACAGATCCAGACATGCTTTCTATCACAGCCCGAAGCCAGGGTTACAGATTCATCCCCCCCTCCATTACTTACAAACGTGTGTATCTTAAAATTGAACCCAGGCCAAGACTAACACAAGACACGCATAACAGCTCCAAAAAGTATTTGGACACACTTAAAGTATGAATGTCACTGCATTATAAAACAAAATATCAAACCAATGGCATTTACACAAAGAAATATAACCCAAACACACTTTCCAACAAAACATGTAGGGAAGTCCGTTAGACATTTAAGGATAAAACAACATATACGTTGTTCAAAATGAAGTATTTCAACTATTTCTGATTGTCAAATGTCAATGGAAAATGTTAATTATAGGGAGTCGATACCAAACTAACTTTCTTGATTCTTAAAAAAAGACTGCTTATCTTATTATAAGTAATCAGTGCAATATAAAGTATGTATGTGGCATGACTTGCATATCCAAATAGAGTGCTGCAGGGATGACGCATTTTTGTAGACTAAAACCTGGAAATGAGTTAAATGTTAGCATTTCTGGTTATGTCGTCCTGCAGTCAAAGGGTTTTTTGAATGGGTTATTATTGGTTAAATGCCTGAAATAAACTCAGCTGTGTTAATTTGTGAAGATTATGATGAACAAAACCTGTAAGAACCATAAACTTTTGTCAGTCCCCGAGCTTACTTCTGCAATCATCGAATGGAACAATCCTATAGGGTTTTTGTCAAGGGAATCAGGGTGGCTTACAGATTGGCCAAAAAAAACAGTAAATCACTGCAGCACTCTATATGTTTTGCAGCCATTGCATATAAAAACACCTTCAGAATCTGTGGCAGAGAGATGAGAACATCTCATCCAGCAGGGACCCTAGACCCTCATGCAGGAATGGACTCGGAAAAGAGGGGGAAAAATTGAGAGAGGACAAAACAGAGGAGAGAAAGATCAAAAGAGCCAGCTACTCCTCCTCCCTGCTCTCTCCTCGTTTGAAGTCGTCAGGAGGGGCAGTGTTTAGCTCTGCCTTTAGCAGCACGGGGCCCAGGACAAAGCACCAGGTGTACAGGCGAGAGAAAAGCGTGCGAACGTGCGATTGTATGCGTGCGCACACGAGCCAGACCACTCTCTGCAGCGAGTCTTGAGCAAAAAAAGATCTGCCTCTCAAGGCTGCGGAGGTTTTGTGCGCCATCCCATAAAAGCCTGTGAAAGTATAATCACCCACAGTAGGGGTTTTCGATGAGGAAGTGTTTAGATTTACACCATCTGAAGTCTGAAAAGAGTGTTATCCATTCAAGTTGCTCAGAATTGGAATGGCCTTCATTTGTGAAGTTCTACACATGCTAATTTGACAATGCTCTCTCATTTTTGCTGTTGCTTTTGGTGAAGCTAGTGGTGCAGAAATGATATTTTTTAATATAATGCTGAAAAAGAGCAAAGACAAAAACTGATTTACTCATTGCGTTACCTAACGGGTTGAGAAAGTCTATTCACACCTCTTGTTACGGAGACATAAACAAGAAGCCATCTGGGCACTTGTGACAGGTTCACTTTCTCTTACACAGACAGAACACTGAAGTCTGTGTTCTGTAAAAGCTGTGCGTATACATGAACCAAGATCAGGGCCTGGCTGTGCGTTTCTATACAGGTCATGTGTGTGTAACGGGATGGTCAAATAGACCATCCCAGGACCCGGCTTAAACTTGTCTAATGGCTTAAACACACTTTGACTAATCAGATGCAAAAAAAAAAAAAAAAGTTTTACGGTGGAAAAAAAAATGTTTAAGGGGGAAAAATGTGAATAAAGCAGCATTTCTATCCTATTTGTTCAAGAGAATAAGGGAGAATTATCAAGTCACATTTCTGATGCACATCCAGGAATTTATTAAGGATAAACTGATATTAAAAAAATCCTACCAATAAATCATTCCAATAAGCCAGTAGGTTAATTATTTTCACCTTATGGCTGATAACTGAAATTTATTTGCATCTTGCACAAAATCTCAATTTGAATGAAAATGTGGCTGGAATGGTGACAGACAAACTTTCATAACTTTCATGCATAACACCTACTCAACCAACAAACATACCCATCAATCCATCATGTCTCAAAGCATTCAAACAAACACACAATCAGTTCTGACAATAGAAATAATTGACTAATGTGCGAGGACAAATGAATAACCTACTTTCGAAGCAACAGCCTTGAAGATGAAGTCAAGCAAAATAGCATCACACCCCTACTAAAACACACACAAACACACAGCAAGTACACACCCTCAAACAGGCCGCAGGGCTGAGAGCTGTCTGAGCCACCACTCACCCTGAAAAACAGGCTGATCAGGAGAGAACAAGAATCATGGCAAGGAGAGCACAAGTCCTTTGAATCTCAGCTGAGACAACACAAACACCAAACCCCTGCTCTGAAGAACCAGAGGAGACCCTATTCATTCATCTCCACCTGTGAGCAGGACAACAGCCCTCCACCATAATATTTACTCACCCGCAACGGTTGTAGCATCAACTCCCCATCCCAGTTTAAACAGATCACCAAGCCTGCCGAGACACACAGTGAAAACGTCTCAATGCTGTCATGATTATCTTAAGACTACAGCCTCTTTTTCTTTCCCTTTCCTTCCTTCTTTATGTCTTAAGCAGTGTGAGAGGTGGTTTGGGGGTGGAGAGATGTTAAAATAATAGCGCTAGTGTTTAAGAAGGGAACTCTCTAACCACGAGAAGAGAGGGGCAACAAAAGGGCTGAGAGAGAGACAGAGAGTTTAAGTCAGAGGAAGCAATGAGACTGAGAAACAGATGGGAAGATAAAGGCGTCAAAGATGGTCAAGGTGACATTTTGTAACCGCAGAACTTCAGCAAAAAGCAGTGGTTCTCAAAACAGCATCACTTAAACAGTAAAACAACAACTTAACATAATTATTGCGAGTTGATTTAATTGGTTGATCAAATTTCAGGTAGGTAAGGTTTTTTTTTTTGGTTTTTGAAGTGTCTTTTTGCTAACCAAGGCTGCATTTATTTAAATCAAAAATACAGCAAAAAAAGAAATATTGTAATTTAAAATGCATTTCATTTTAATATTTTTTAAAATGTAATTTATTTCGGTGATGTTAAAGCTGAATTTTCAGCAGTCATTACTCCAGTCTTGAGTGTCACATGATCCTTCCGAAATCATTCTAATATGCTGTTTTGCTGCTCAAGAAACATTTATTATTATTATGTTGAAAACTGTTATGCTGTCTTTTTAACATTATAAACATCTGTACTGTAAAAAAATCATAGAAGAGAGATGTTAAAATAATAGCGCTAGTGTTTAAGAAGGGAACTCTCTAACCACGAGAAGAGAGGGGCAACAAAAGGGCTGAGAGAGAGACAGAGAGTTTAAGTCAGAGGAAGCAATGAGACTGAGAAACAGATGGGAAGATAAAGGCGTCAAAGATGGTCAAGGTGACATTTTGTAACCGCAGAACTTCAGCAAAAAGCAGTGGTTCTCAAAACAGCATCACTTAAACAGTAAAACAACAACTTAACATAATTATTGCGAGTTGATTTAATTGGTTGATCAAATTTCAGGTAGGTAAGGTTTTTTTTTTTGGTTTTTGAAGGGTCTTTTTGCTAACCAAGGCTGCATTTATTTAAATCAAAAATACAGCAAAAAAAGAAATATTGTAATTTAAAATGCATTTCATTTTAATATTTTTTAAAATGTAATTTATTTCGGTGATGTTAAAGCTGAATTTTCAGCAGTCATTACTCCAGTCTTGAGTGTCACATGATCCTTCCGAAATCATTCTAATATGCTGTTTTGCTGCTCAAGAAACATTTATTATTATTATGTTGAAAACTGTTATGCTGTCTTTTTAACATTATAAACATCTGTACTGTAAAAAAATCATAGAATTTGTATGAAATATTCAAACTATTTTGAAACAGTTTTCAATTTAACCTTAGTTTAATTTGTAATCATTATGTTGTTTTGTCAGTTATAAGTTTTTGTTCTAATCATATTTGTTTTATTTTATTTTTCAGTTAGTAATTTCAGTGCTTTAACAAATTTATGTTGGTTGCTAAGGCAACATTAAATTTTTTTAGGTTGTTTATCTAATATTCATATTTTATTTCAGCTTTATTTCAAAGAACAAAAATGTTTTTAATAGTTTTGTTTTAGTTAACAATAAAAACCGTGAAATATGCCCAGGCAAACCAATTTCCCTTAACAAGCAGCACTAACAAATGTTTCCATACAGGTTTTCCCAAACACTCCTCTCAACTTCCAAGGAAAATCAGCCTATGAATGATTTGTGTCTGAATGTTAAGCTAGCGTGACAGGCTAAAATATAAACTCACTCACCAATCCATTCTTACATAAAACATCCCATGGGGTTTAAATTATACAATTTACTAAAGAATGGTATCACATACTATTCACACAGAAACTCATTCTACTCGTATTTCATGAATTAGGGCCAGTGTTTTCAGCCAAGACGGTGTGGAAATCTTACTTGCAAAAGCCTGAATCAATCCCTCCATCCACTGTCACACCGTACCACTCAGGGCTGTCCCAACACCGCCTGCGTCTGACTGACTCACTGACTTCACGGCTCAACAACTGATTTGTGCCTGTCACCTCTATACTGCGCGTGGGTCTGAACACTGAAGCTTGGTGCCACTACTGTCAGAAAAGAACCAAATGACTCATAAACACACACCACTCATATGACTAGTCAAACGAAACCTTGAGTACCTCATTTGTCTTCTAATCAGCATCTTCAAAACATCACACCTTTCTATCTTTCCTTTCTGCAATTACTAATAAGTACCATCTCTCTTCCAGTCAATGCACGCATGAGGCTACAGGAAATTTACTCTGGGGTCAGGTCTGTAATTTTTCCATATCCATCTCTATAATGCTGACAAGCGCCTCCTAATTCTGCCTATAAATATTCATTTGAAATTAGAAAACCATCTATTATATCAATTCTGTTGCCTGCTGCCGCATAATTGGTCTGCTCATTTCCTAAGTATACACACAGCTCTCTAATGAGCTCTTGAAAGCCTCCAAATGAAAATCCCTCCCACTGTGCAAAACTCATTTTCATCCCTTTACAAAATGTTTACTAATTCAGTGAAATTTGAATAAGGTTTAAAAATGCCATGCTTCCATTTAAATGGCACCGGTAGTATGGCACTGTTATTTAAACATTCAAATAAGCACGTTCATCCGTCTCAGCACGTACACGTGGGACAGCGTGGGACGTCCGTGTTTGACAATAGTAGAGGAGGATGTCATATCAGAACAGCGAGCGGCGGTTAGTCACACGCAGCCTTCAGCCTGACCTCTAACTCGTCGAACAAAAGCGTGACACAAAGCTCAACCTCAAAAGCCACCTCTGAACCACGCGGGGCTCTCTCTGAATGATTGGATTTGTAATTGACCCCATCAATGCTTTCCAAGGCAGGAAGGATCGAGGACAGTTGGTGTACTATCTCAGAGTGTGCAGTAACAGTATACAGTATAGCAGGGTCGCTTCAACTCGCTAGACAAAAATGACGTATGAAGCTTAGCCCTAAAATGCCACTATGCAAAGCTATCTACTTATGCAAATACGTTTTTTTCCCTTCATTTTTAAAAGTCGACATGAAACATAAGTTGACTTCATCTTTTCTTATGACACATATACTATTGAAATAGCTTCTCAAAAAAAAAAAAAAAAAAAAAAGCATGGTAGTATTTAATTTGGTCTATATCGGGAATTGATTGGATCGTTGTCATTTGTAACCTTCAATGACGTGCACTGATAAATCCTTTATAAAAAAAACAATATTCCATAAAAAAAAAAAATGTATTTTGATTTCATGGTGACTTTAAAAAGGATGCATTTATAATTATTATTTATCAGAATGGTGTAGTTAATGGTATGGACAATAACCAATAAATTACCAGAGATTAAAAATCTTTTTTTGTCTTAAAAAAAATACAACACTAAAACTATGAACAATTTAAATGATAAACCATATAAATGTGCAGTATAAAATGAACAGTATGAAAAATGTCAGTTTTTTTTAATGACATTTAATGCCCATTACACGTAACAGTTTTATTTATCACTAGTAGCTTTAATGATTAACTTACATGACAGCATCTAGAGGGATTTATAACAGGAAAAAACCCCTTAAGCAACCTAAGAACAATGACATACAGATCACCTCTTGTCGTGTTCAAAACTACATCCTTTGGTTACCAGCACAGGCCAGTCATAAGACACATTTCCTTTTTGTATTGTTTTACTTCAAAAACAAAGTAAATGCAAATGAAAAAGATTCTTGAGAGCGGTGGAAGAGGGGAACTTTGAATTAATTTCAGTCAGTTCCTCAAACAAAACTGTAGCTTTTAAAAAAAAAAACATGGAACATGCAGCATGAGTCATATGGACTATTTAAATCATTTCACATTCATTGTGTGGAAAAAAAGCAAAAACATTTCGCTAAATATCTCTATTTGTGTTCCACGGAAGAAAGAAAAAGTCATACAGGTTTGGAAGGACCTGAGAGTGAGTAAATTATGACAATTTTCCTTCAACCACTAGACCAAAATCCCCCACATAGTACAAGAATCACTCAGAAAAGGTTGTGCTGTCAGCATACTAAAATCAAGAGTTGTGATTCACAATACATTACACACACACATTCAACTTCCTCGGTCATCAGAACCACACCACACACAGAACTCTAACACCACCACAGGAACCTTCCACATAGACCTCCGGTAACTATGGTAACCTCCTCTCTGAGTGATATCACCCTGACATTGCATCATAACCCCATGAGCTAACTGGGTCGCTTTTCTCAAGACTCATGAAGCACGTGGGAAAAACTGAATAAAACAGGCAGAGTCGGAGATGGGAGCTGTGATGGTGGAGAAGATTGAAACTGACTGACCGAGAGGAGAATCCACAGATGCTATTAATAGCCATTCAGCCTCTTCAGTCACCAGAAAAAAAGCCATATGTGCGCAAAGCAACACACACACACTGCTTATGGATGAGAGAGCCAGATGGAGGCATCAGACTGATTAGAGATTGAGAGAGAGGGGTACAGAACCGACCATGTCTCCCCAGAGCAAAGTCCAATTCATTTCCGTAAATTGCTTCTTTCGAACGGTTTGCTTCAGAAAAAAAATAAATAAATAATTACTGAGCAGTTCTTTTATATCATCACATGATTCCTGACATTCCCGCTCTACAATATTCCTATAAAGTCCTATGAAACATATTTTGTTTGTTAATTAGTTTTTCAATAAAGTTATATTAAGGCATCTAATTTTATGTTATTCTAATTTAATTTTATCAGTTTATAAAAACAAAGCCGTTAAGAGCCTAAAGCTTATTTGCATTTACAATAAACAAACTAAAATTCATTTCTTGATTACAAAGTATTTTAAAATGCTGTTAAAACCAACATTACTTTGTATAAGCATTGATAAAACGGTCTTATAGTCAGGTTGTTAACATTTCAAGTATGTTTTATTTGTAATAATTTCATACTATTCACCCAATCATTCAAACACTCCAAATGTTCTTAGCATTATGAATCATATCTGTGCACACAGGGCCGTATCATGCGAGATTCCCTGTATGTCTCGTAACTCACAACAGGTCTGCTTTTAAATGTTTATATTTTATAAAAATCAATTTGTTTATGGAGAAAAGGAAAGGGATCTTTACTTGTGGAACCCTACTGTTACACAAGTTCTTTCAGTCAACAGAATCGCTCTGGGGTCCAATAGGATTATGTTATGGGTTACATCGACAATGCTGTCAACCAGACCAGTAAAGTCTCAGTGGATGCAGACTTCAGATTCTCACCATAAGTTTTATGAATACTGTGAATTCAGACCTACTATTCTTTTCATATACTATATAGTAGAAAAGTACAATTTCTAACTCAGTCATTGTCAGTTCATTGAGTAAGTGAGTTGAGCCGAGAAGCCGCTCGGACCGATTCACTCTAATTCTTGAACGAATCGATCGGGGGAGCGTTTCCCAAAAGCATCGTCACCCAACTATGATCGTTGAACTGTGTTGGTAACGACGGAACTTGCTTTTATAAAACGCACCTCGGCGGTTCTGTGATCTAGTTCAACCGATTCACTGAAAAGATCCGACTCAAAGGAACGATTCATTTACGAATCAGACGTAGCTAAATCACGCACAGCTCCCTCTAGACGTAAACATGTCTGCCATTCAAACACACCGCCATACATTGAATGCGCGCTAATGAAAATACTGCAGTAACAGAAGGGCACACACAGCTGCGCCACGGCAGAGACAGAGAGAACATTGTCTGCCCGCAGGACAGTGGACACACACACACGTGTGCATGCATGCCAACCCAGGTGTCTTTTGTTTTCATTACTTCCAGTCCGGTAGTACTAGGTAAAAATACGGGGATAAATCAATAAATGTCCTTGAAATGCGACAGAAACGTCATATCTACCAACCATTGATCTCACTTATTTCTGTGTACCATTGCTGTCTCTCAAAACCTAGTAAACTGTCTACCTAGACAGCATTTTGGGCATTATAGGCGCCCAAAAATGTTGCATTCGTTTTGGACGCTTAAGATGCCCGAAAATGCTGTATAGACTGGCAGCACACTAGGTTTTGAGACACAGCATACCACCATGCAGCTAAGAATCACTGTTCACAGATTAGATCAAACTGATCGTGCAAAAAAGAAGAACCAGTCAGGAACAAAAACAGGAATCGACTCACCAAAGACCAGCAACAAAGAAAAGCAATCGGGTTGAGTGTAATAATTAACACAAGCACTCCCCGAATTAGCGCAAAAATGTATAAATACAACAGGGAAACACTCACTTGTCAGAAGTGACCCGCTCGGTCCACTGGCGGCGGCTCACATACACCCTGACGGACGGCAAGAAGCGCTGCTGCTGCTGTAGTGATGTGGACCGCTGGCTTACAGCCCGCACTCCTGATTTGCTCGAAGAACTGCAGCCATCTTGCTGAAACCCGTGTAGCCTACCAACCACATGCCTAGACGTAGGAGGGGAGGAACTATTCAAATTATCTTCTTCTTCTTCTAATAACGTTTTATAGCGGATGGCAAACCAACTTCTGGTGCATTTATTCAAATTATCCTAAACATTTTCCACTTACCCCCAGTTGCATGTCTTGAAAATTAGCTTCCCAATATTCTCAATCGCTTAAGCCAAGAAATTATATGAATTTTTAGTAAATTAAAAAATTTTTTTTTTATATTTTATGCAACTCCTTATGCACGTTATCCTTATGCATTTTTCATCAATTTTAAATCATTTATAATTTTTTTTGTGTATTTACAATGATATATTTATTATATTATATATAGCATGGCAAACTAATAAACATATAATTTATAAACTATTCCGTTCAAAAGTTTGGGGTCGATAAGATTTAAAACATTTATCAGAAATATAGTAAAAAAAGGTAAAAAAAAATAAAAATCTTGTGATGGCAAAACTGAATTTTCAACAATTATTACTCGATTTATTTGATTTTTGTATGTAACAATGTATAAGACTTTACTGCCATTTTGATAAACTTAATGCATCCTTGTTGAATAATTGAATTAATTTATTTAAAAAAATCTTACTCTCCCCAAACTTTTGAATGGAATGATATATTATTTAAATTATATACATCACTGTTTTTTTTTCTGCGTATATATTGCTCTATGGTAAACTGCAACAAAATGTGTTTTCAGTGGGAATATAGGGGATAATATATTTAGGTTGTGTGGTTTTACTGTATCACTGACACTTAGATGCAGCAGCCTAAATGCTGCTTTGAATGGGGGAATTAATTTATTACATGCACAAGTTCATAAAGCTAAAATGTAATCAAGTCTCCCCTTCCCCCCATAAATATCCCACGTGACAGAAAGCCTATCCAATAAAAAGGATGCCTTTATTCAAATTTTCAATCAATTTTATTGAGCTTATCACGTTTGATGCCCTTGGCTTGGTCTCCCAGTCAGTTAACTAGCTATTGGGAGCAATGGCGCCCTCTGGCGTATCCTTCAGGATGCTTTGCATGTCTCCTTCATCCTTGGAAAAAAAGTCTGTCACTGACATGCAAAGTTGTCATCCGTGGTCCTTTAATGCTTTTCTTTGAAAACATTGACCTCATCATAAAGTCATTAGCTATACTGAATGTATAAGACCGTTAAATACTTAATGCGGAATGCTGGTAGAAGCGTTTTTGAACTGCAGGTGGTTCGTTTGGCTCACAGGCTTATTAATTAAAAACAATAAACATACATACAAACACTCAAACATACACATATATCATTCCATAAAGTTCGTTCGTATTTTCTTTTTTTAGACCCTGCAAACTGAGACAAGAACCGAGTATGAATTCTATTGCAAAAAAGCAATTCATCACAGTTAAACCAGCCATTAAATTAATAAGTCCTTCAGATGATTAATCAGCACTGATGATTTAAGCCTGCGCTTCAATAATCAGGGAATCCATTTGTTAGAATGAAGACAAAAACAGAAGTGATTGTGTACCCTAGGCATGGAGAGAAAGAGACAAGTGGTAATGTGTGGGTGAGATCTGCAATAAGTTTTTCAGCTTTCAGTTGAAGAAAACAGGAAAGATGTGAATCGGAAAAAAGCCCCTGAGAACTGGCCATAGAAAATGAGTTCTTCAAGTCAAGAGTTCTTAATCACGCCTGTCTGATATATTGTCCCTATTTGACAGAACTGATTTTTCAGTCTGTGCTATGGCTAGGACATATTAATGGAGTCCGAGATGGAGGGAAATATCAAAGCTCATCCTTCTCCATCTGCTTAAATGCTTCCAAGTCCTCCTGCCAATCAGCCATCAGTGAGTCCACCGATTGGCTGCTGTAGTCTCCGTCCACTGCAGGCTCCTCCCCTACGTCCACGGGGTCGTAACTGCCAAGTCCCTCCGCTGGCTGAACCGACTCTTGTCCCATGACCGAGTCGTCTGTTGTCTGTTCCTGAGTAGTGACTTGAGATTGGTCGACAGGTTCTGAAGAAGCAGGAGAAGTGTGGTCTTTCTCCTCTGTGGAGCAGTCCTCCTCTTCTGCTCCATCTGTACCTTGAAAAAAAGGTCAGTTGAATGAACCACAAAGAAATCTACTTAAAATCAATCATACATCACTGACACTAGATCATATTAGGTGTGGAGCATGATGGTATTTTGTCATCAAAATCTGATTTTGTCATCTAGATTCTAGAACATGCAGTTTTGCCTGACAACAAATTACACGCACTCACACCCCAAAAATTCTTAAGTAGTTACTTGTTACAAACAAATGTGTTTTTTAAATAAACACAACTACTTCGAAATTTGTGTTTTCAGTGTGAGTGTTTACATTGCAGAGCAAAACATCTAAATATTGTCCATTTTTATTTACCACAGACCTTGTTTTATTAATTAACTGAAAAAGCCCATTATAAAAACCCATTTCAAAAGAGTCCATTTAGTTTTGAGCACTCTATTAGAGGTGGGAAGTCATAATTACAATCAGGTGCGTTCAAGTCACTTTAGTCAGAGCAAGATTTTTTAACTCTTCTACAAAATGATGACTAAAGAATGTGCATCATGTTTTTTTTTTTTTTTGCTTCTTTATATTTTTCTTCTTTATGAAGGTGCTGTAAATTGAATGGCAACGTATTCTATTGTACTGTACACAACTATCGTTTTTTTGTACATGCACTATTTATAACTGGAATTGCATTATGCATTTTCGGTGATATGCTCACCCGCAGTCAGCCAAGACGCATTACCGTTTAAACCTGGTTGTTAGGCGTTTTAAATGCATCTTCTGTGACCACTTGTGTTCGGATTTTGTCCAGACCCTCCCCTCTTATTTCATCACACTCTTATTTTGTGGGAGTGCTGAGTATGGCGCACAAATACGACTGAATGAATGAAGTATTATGCTGCTCACAAGCGAGTGGGAAAGGAACCAAATAGTAACGGCAATTCCAATCATAATCCACGCGTTTTGGCACAACTCAGCAAAGTTGGAATGAATTGTTTTGGTGCACTTTCTCAAAACACATCCAATAGCGCTCACATGTTAGATCAGTGGGCAGAAAGTTGGTAGTCTTTTGTGGCAAATTCGTTTTTTCGACTACCTCTGGGAAGTGGTCAAAAGTGGACAAGTTCAAAACGTTTTAGACTTCATTTACACCTGTATTTAACATTTTCCACTTGAGATTGGATTGACAAAAATGCATCTTAATGCCAGATGTAAACAGGGCCTTAGCTAGTTTTATTGTACATGAAAAGATTAATAATTGAGTTAATTTCAACAAATTTACCACCAATACAGACGCTGCATTCATGTTCTTGCCATATTTTTTCACTGACATGCCTCCAACTCAGAAACTCAGGGCCTAAAGAAAGTTCTGAATTTCTTACTTGGTAAATACGATCTTTGCAACATGACTTGAAAGCATCATTAAAAACAAGTGGGTTCGATGCATGAAGGGAAACCCATAAAGGAGGGGTACTTACTGCCATCCAACAGGGTGCCCGGGAGGGCTTTCCCCTTAAATATGGATTCTGCACATCCAAGTAAGAAAGAAGGGAAAAAGTAGTGGAAAGGGAAAAAAGTTATAAACACAGAGGGAAAGAGTAATAAAAGGAAGAATAATTAGAAAAGAATGAAAGTAGATGATGGAAAGGGGTACCACCTTCCTCAAATATTAACATATTTTCATATTCATGTCTTGGCTCTGTCTCAGAAAGCATCTCACCTCTGTCTCTAGCTTTATTGCTGAGCAGCACCTCCACCTCCCTGTACTCCTTTAGAGCCTCCAACAGGATGTTGCCCTCTTTGTGGAACAGGAAGAGGAGTGGTAAAGTGACATCATCAGTGTTCCGCCCATCTCCCGCCATCTGGAACAATGGGGCTGTATCACTGCTGCTGCCCTCATTGTCATCTAAACAGAAACGACAAAGAGAGACAGAAGAGAGTAATACTAAGACTGATTTATTCTGTAGAAAACATTGTTTATATTGTTAACTAAAGCTATTTAATCATTTTTGCTAATTAAAATTTGGAATAAATTAAAAAGGGACTTAAACTTAAAAAAACAAGAAAATTATGAATGTTGTTTTGGCATTAAGTAAAATAAAATAAGTGGAAGTTAAAGTACTAAAGTAAGAATACATTCAAGTTAAACTGAAATAAATTTTTTTTTATAAAAATTACATAACAATATCACTAAAACTACAATGAAAACTGAAAAAAATAAAGCTAATTCAAAACAATAAATATTTCAATAGAATATAAATAACACTACAATAGCACTGGTACAAAGGCAATACAAATATTATAATAAATAATTTAAAGCGGCCAAGGTCAAATATAGGCCATTAACTAGATCAGGGATTTCTAAACAGGGGTCTAGAGGGTTTTAGGTGGGGCAGTGGAAAATAAGAGGGGAAAAAAAATACTACAGAGCTGATTTTGAGGCTGTCAACGTAACTGTAAAACTGCTTTAGAAAAATATTTAGCATGAAAAGTGTTATATCAAGGAATCTGAATTTAACAGTTTCACATGTGACATTAATGGGTGGAAAATACACTGTCAACTTAATAAAACCTAAATATTTTCCAGATAATATTTTAACAATTTGCTTGGGTTTCAGTAACAATATAAAGGACACCTATTTAAGTTCTTTGTATGGAAATCATTACATTTAGGGAACACTGGCATCAAATGTATTGAAAACTCTTGAACTAGATGACTTTAACGGTTGACTCTCTGAAACATGTCTCACCTATGACGATGCCTCCGATGGCCCCAGCTTTCTGAATGTGCCTGGCCTTTTCTGCAAACATGCACTGGCCTCTCTGCAGCAGAGCAATGCGGCCTGCCACAATCTCACCGTTACTCAACACAGAACAGCCGTTATAGGGCTCCGCTACGGTTACAAACCCACGCACCTGAGGGAGAGGGAAAAAGAGAACAAAATACAGAGTGTAGCATGACTAAATAAATGTAT